CTACTCCTCCATCATCACCTACCTTCACACCCCCTCCCTTCTCCTCCTCCATCGTCACCTTCCTTTCACCGTCCTCTATGATGTACTTTTCCATAGACACCTACGTTCACTGCATATAATGCTCCCCTCTACTCCTCCATCGTCACCTACTTTCACCCCACCCCCCCCTCCGCTCTACTCCTCCAGGGCCGCAGACAATTTCACGAGCGTGAGAACTACGAGTTCTCTAACTACTCTCACACTCCTACTCTCTCACCAGTGAGGGGGAGGGAAGGAGGGAGGAAATGAAGGAAGAAAGGTGGGGGAGAGAGAATAGGCAGGGGGGAGGAGGGCCTAGATACATTTCTTCCATATAGATAGGTAGACTGAGGGAGAGCTGCTTGCCAAGAGCCCTATCAGACAGGCTTCCTATTCCTCAACCCTCCCTAATATGCCACATCCTGGTCAGGACAACTTGCTCGATTGTTATTCTTGGTGTGACTCGAGAACTGACCTCGAGACGGGGTATGGGCATGGATTATCTCCCTGGGGCACGCACCTCCCTGCCCCAGCTCTCTCTCTCTCTCTCTCTCTCACATAATCTATCAAGGGTCTAACATGAGGTCATTGTGCCTACCAGAAGTGTATATGTCCAAGGCTGGCCACCTGTCTGGACCATTCAAATGTATAAACACGTAATTAGTCTATTAAAATTATATATAATGCTACAATTATAAATTAATTTGTTCATGGTCATTCGTTTATCAGTATTTTAATATGAGGTATATATACGCATGTATGTATACGTTGACGTACACATATATGATTATGTGTATAGAATGATTATGATTATGTGTATAGAATGATTATGATTATGTGTATAGAATGATTATGATTATGTGTAATCATATATGATTATATCTAATGGAATGCATTAGTAAGTGATGTGGTGGAGGCTGACTCCATACACAGGTTCAAGTGTAGATATGATAGAGCCCAATAGGCTCAGAAACCTGTACACCTGTTGATTGACAGTTGAGAGGTGGAACTAAAGAGCCAGAGCTCAACCCCAGCAAGCACAATTAGGCGAGTATATGAACGAATGCACATGTACACTTTCAAATGAATTAAGATACCTTGAGATACACAATGACTTAGTTTAAGTAGTTTAAACACATTATGGTACTGATTTTGACATGCTGATGTCTGGAAAGGAGAGGGGGTGTGGGGGGTTATTGTCTGAGGTGGAGGACCAGAGGAGGGGGTCAGTGGAAGGATGGTGGCTGGAGGGATGCCATTGTTCTAATGGTTATGAAAACAATTATTGATGGCAGGAATTCAGTGGGTGTGTACTTCACCCGCACCATCACCATACTGTGCCCTGCTACAACACCCCCCCCCCCACTCCACCCATGCTGTGCAGGGCGTATTACACATTATGGGATAACCGACTGTCTGTCCATTCCTGTCTGCTCGTTATGCTGCCCTTCCTTTTGAAAATTGTCTGCTTTATCGACTTCCTTCAAGACCACACGTTAGCCTCTTATCACGCCCTCTTACCACTCTCAGGGAGCCGGCTCTTCTATACAATAGTTACCACTCAGTCCCCAAGGTGAAAGAGTGTTCGGGCATATGACTTGTTACGTGTACTTATTTGCGATTCGTTTGGGCTGTCACGTGTGGTGATTAGTGTTGGGTAAGGCTAGGCCAGGTCAGGTCAGACTAGGCCAGGTCAGACTAGGCTAGGTAAGGCTAGGCCAGGTCAGGTCTGGTCAGGTCTGGCTAGGTCAGGTCTGGTCAGGTCTGGCTAGGCCAGGTCAGGCTAGGCAGGGTGAGAGAAATAAAGCGGCAGGTACTTACGTTTCCGAGAAAGTAGCGGCGGTAGTATATTGTTGATTTAGATTGTTGTTGTTGTTGTGTTGATTTAGGTTCGACGACATCCTGAAGCTAGTAGGTGGCGGCCTCATCGCTCTCGAACTTGTTGTTGTTGTAGGGGATACGAGGCACACCCAATATCCCCCTTACATTGATCACATCGCACACTAATATTTTTACTATTTCGGACACCAGATTTGTCTGTTTCGTATATGTACCTCTAACACACACCTCTGTTTTAATCACCGTTCCTCTATCTACAGCACAAAGCAACAAGCACCTTGGTAACTCCGATCATCTTCAACATAAACGCGTCCAACAACATCAGTACTGGTGCAGTCATCGGGGGGACAAACCCTTCATGCAAACTGCACCTACTATCAACAAGAAGAAGAAGAACCATTAACAGTATCAATAGATGATACTGGAGATCTGTGGAGGTGCGACTGGACCCTGCGTGACGGGAGATGTATCCCTTGTTTCTTGTGATTGATTGATGAGGATTAAGCCACCCAAAAGGTAGCACGGGCATGAATAGCCCGTAAGTGGTGTTCTTGTTAGTCACAGTTGATTTTTTTTTTATTGAGGCTGGTATTTTATCCCCTGATTCCATGTATAACTAACCATCCTGTGAGATGGGAATATTTAATGAACTTATAGCTAGTTTTTGATATACACTGTGTAATCTTTCATATAGAATAGGGTAGCAGCACATTACTGTGTATACCTAAGCTTGTTAATAATAACAAAAAAAAAGTTAGTTTCTATCGATAGGGAGAGCGATGGTTCAAAAATCCTTCTTTAAAATACGAATATCTTTCCTATCTCACTGAGATCTAATCTCTGTGATTAAAATGCAAAATTGACTTTGTCGCTGCCTTTTTGATAACGTATACAATCATAAGCTTATTTGTGAATCTCTATTAAACAGTAAATCAGAGAGCGTGTAAGGTTCCGTGTTCCATGTCCGAAGAAACGGAGATTTTACATAAATACAGTACATGATAGTTTAAGTAGCGAACGCATACCAACAAATAACGATTAGTATCTATAACAAAAATATTGTTCTATGGAGTTGATTTAACTTCCAACCATGTATTTTTAAATAATCTTTAACGTTTTCTGGCTAGTTATGTTAGATTTGATTAAAAATACGCATTCTACTTGTTAACATCATAAATTAAATTTGCGATAATTTGAGCAGAGAAGTTCGACGACTGGATCACTGTGTACAGAAGGTTGATATGCCAGCAAACACTTTCCAGAGAGCAATATATCTTGGATAAGTCGCTCCACGATATTGTTGCTTGGACCATCGACTTCCTTTGATATTTTTTTTTTTTTTGAGATATATACAAGAGTTGTTACATTCTTGTACAGCCACTAGTACGCGTAGCGTTTCGGGCAAGTCCTTAATCCTATGGTCCCTGGAATACGATCCCCGCCGCGAAGAATCGTTTTTTCATTCAAGTACACATTTTACTGTTGCGTTAAACAGAGGCTACAGTTAAGGATTTGCGCCCAGTAAATCCTCCCCGGCCAGGATACGAGCCCATGACATAGCGCTCGCGGAACGCCAGGCGAGTGTCTTACCACTACACCACGGAGACTGTTAGTATTACATATTTACATCTTATTTTGTTATGAAATGATATTTTTTCAGAGTAAAATTATGTTTTCTCATTTTCTGCATCCAGCATCCACATTATAGTGAGTAAATATACCATATTACTTCATTGCTTACGTAATGCTAGGAAGGTTTGAGTAGCTTTGGGTCTTTAGTGGACAGAATCTCCAATAGATGGGGCGAGAGTCGCCCCATCTCTCTCGACCGGGCGGGACTCGAAACTTAAATTAAAATTGCTATATCATTGGTCTCCAACATGATATATTTCCTTTGATGCACTCACAATAACGATTATAGCTCTGTCTTTCTGGAGGCATGTAATATTTTAGGCTTTATTAGCGTATCTTTGTTAATTACACAACATATTGGCAAGTGCGTAGGCGTCTGCACTCCATGACCGAAAAGCTACTGAACGCCACTATAAAAACATATATATCTTCACTTGAGCTTTAAATGTCTAATGTAATGTATTTAAAATAAAGCTTATATTTCTATCTTTCTTAAGATGTGTAAAACATTTGTGTTTATTAACGAATTTACGTAAAATAAACATTCTTCTGAGAGAGTTGCTCTGTCGCTCAGTCTATGCGGGGGTCGGAGCTCGGCGATTATTAAAATACATGAATCTTCATTAGAACTTTAATTATGTCTATGATAAAGTGTTTAAAATGAGCCTTATAATCCTATCTTTCTTGAGGCATATAAAAAATTTACGATTATTTACAAATTTACGTGAAATAAGCATTGTTCTGAGAGAGAGTTGCTCTGTCGATCGATCTGTCCGGAGTCGGAGCTCGGCTATTATAAAAGTACACGTATCTTCGCTTTAAATTTAAATATGCCCATGGTAAGGTATTTAGAACGAAGCTTATATATCTGTCTTTCTTGTGACATATAAAACTCTTACGTTTATTAAGGAATCTGCGTGAAATAGGCATGGTTCTGAGATGAATGCTGCGGTTTTCGAGTTTGACGAGCGATGAAAACTGCCACTTTTATACAACTACAAATATCTTCGGTTTTACTTAAAATATTTGTCTGGTAGAGGCTTTACATATAGATCGCGTTTCTGTCTTTCTTCTGACTAATAAATAATTTTGGTTTAATCAGTTATCAAGATGTTTTCAACAATATTCTTTCAGTGTTCGTCTTTTCCAACTTGGGCGACCCTTTTGGAAGCGCGATACTTGGGTTAACCCATCCTATAGTTGGGTCTGTTTCCAACTGGGGTTCGAATAAGTATATGTTTAGCATGTTGAGGGACTTAAACTGCCCGAAACGCTTTGCGTAATAGTGGCTTTAGGCATTGTATATACTAGCTATCTATAAATTCATCAAAATCTGTATCACCCCTTGTATGTATGTACTTTACCTAAATAAACATTTGATTTGAGGGGCTGTGTGTTGTCTGAAAACAGAGTTATAAACAAATCTTGATAGGTGCATGTTGCATGAAGGATTCGTCCTCCCGATGACTGCACTTATAATCAAATCAAATCAAATGTTTATTCAGGTAAAAGCATATACATACAAGATGAGTTACAAACATAATGTTGGATTTATAGCTAGAGCTAGTATATACAATGCCTAAAGCCATTGATAAACAATGTTTCGGGCAAGATGTGGGGGAAAAACACTTGAACTAAAACTTAATACTATTTAAGATCAAAGCATAAATTAAGTTGAAAAAAGGGGAAGGGGGGGTGGAAACATGGCAGAAATCAACAGTTATACAAGTTGGTCAACAAATAGTATTGTTTGAAAATGCAAGACAAGGGTTGACATTTAGGGGGTAAGGTAGTTTACATGGAGTTTATGTAGTACTGTACTTAGTTTTCATCTTAAACTGGTTGAGAGGGGTACAGCCTTTGACATGATTGGGAAGGTCATTCCACATTCTGGGTCCCTTGATTTGTAGAGCATTTCTAGTTTGGTTAAGTCGAACTTTTGGGATATCATGTATGTGCTTTATGTATGTACTTTTCCTAAATAAATTTTTATTATTATTATTATCAAATAGGTATTTGTTTCTGGTGTGGTGACCATGGGTTCTGTTTCAACCTTCTAAGAAACTTTTAAGGTCAGGATTGACATTACAGTTCAGAATACACACGAGAGAATGTGCAGTGACTTAATATCTAACATATTCAAAGATTTAAGTAAAGGAACCGAGTGCTGTCTGGGGTCAGAGTTAGATATTGTTCTAATCTACCAAGTGGCTTGCCAGGTAGAGCATTTCCCTACATTCAACATTTGATTTTTCAAAGTCACAAAGTATTCACAAAGCTCATTGTGACTACTTGTAGCCACAGTGACCTTTGTAACTGTGAAACATACAGTATTTAATTTTTTTAATGTTTCAGGTTTGATGCTACAAGATGCCAAATCTTCTTAAAGTTTGGTCGTTTGACAAATCGCTTACTAACGAAGACAAAGAAGAATTATTGAAACATTTTGGTGCTGTAAATGTTAGACATGTTTCCTGTCGGGGCCAAAATGCAGCTGTACTTGCTAGGTGAGTTAATGCCTTTTTGTTTTTTTATGAAGAACATTTGTTTATGGAGTGCTTTTATGTACATTCTTCCCTCAAGTATTATAGGGTATTTATTACCCTTCAAGTATTAAAGGCCTTTGAAAATATAGTGCAATGCAAAACTGAGGAGAGACAACATGGCCCCAGACAAGAAGTTAGCACAGTGAGCAATAGCCGCCTCAGAGCACTGTACACTCCACTGGCTGTCAGTGTAATCGAAAAGGCAGGCCACAGCACATAGTTGTAGAATGTGACCCACCATATCTAGAAAATACACCCAGGGACCAGGTTTGCGGAGACAAATGGGCAAATTGTTTCTTTCACCCTGATGCCCCTGTTACCTAGTGGTAAATAGGTACCTGGGAGTTAGACAGCTGCTTCGGGCAGCTTCCCGGGGATGTGTAACAAAAAGGAGGCCTGGTCGAGGACCGGGCCGCGGGGACGCTAAGCCCCGAAGTCATCTCAAGATGGAAGACAACTAACTATGTATCCTATCATGAAGTATACATACTCCCAAATAATAAGCATTCAACTTCACTGAATTGGCTTCTGCAGAGCTGGGTGTGAAGCAGTAGATGCCAGGCAAAAAGTAAGAGTTGCCGGGTCCTCCGACTACAGTACAGTACAGTACAGTACAGTACAGTATGTAGTGCAACCTGACTGCCACTTTGGGTGGTCTGGTAACTGCTATTTCTAACCATACAGTAGTTAAGTGGTAATGGCTTTCATCGGTTTCAGTTATCACTAACAGCAAGTTTTAATTGGATTTTCTGACCTTTTGGATGATAGTAAGCAGTCTCTTTCAGTGGTGGATTGAGAAACTACTGAATTGTTTCCATTCCCCTAAAATACATAACATGGCCATTTGTAAGGTTACTTGTTATGGTGGGTTTTAAAGTTGACCATAGCCTGGTGTGTGATTAGTGTCCTAGTTGGACCTCAGCTGTCTAGATATGCTTTACACATTTCTATTGATTGAATTTAATATAGTGTTTACATTTTTTAGCACATTAAATACTGTAGTGTCATAAAAAATTGTCTTTTATGCTGAATTTATTTTTAAAGCTTATTCCTCTGGTAATTGACAATATAGTATAGCTAAATATAAGGTATATTGATTGGTAGAGATGTAGAAAATAACTTAGAGTAAAGAGTAACCATTTTACACTGCAGCTTTAAAAATGAGGAAGACTGTAAATATGCACTGCAGAAGTTGCACCAACTGGAAGTTTTGGGATCAAGAATTATGGCCATCTACAAGGATTCTTCATTACCTCCATGCTCAGATCAGCCCCACAGGTGTGTGAAAGTATTAAATAATGTGGCTAATACAGTACTCTAATTACATATCATTATTTTTATAGTTGTGGTAATTTAAATGGTTTGTCATCGTTTGTATAAAAATGGCTTGCCTATTGTATATAAAGTAGGATTTTTCATACTTTTTGTATTGTAGATAATAGAGATTTTTCAATACCCAAATTTTAGCCAATTACCAATGCTAGTGTATTGGCCGATACTGATATACTGATGCTATAAAGAGACCAACACACTGATACTGATAACACTGTTTTGAAATGTTAGAGCTTATGGCATAAAGATTTGTAATAGTGACATAAAGGACACAACTATTCCTGCAGAGCCCACACAATACAAGAGACCAAGGTAAGGTAATTATCAGGAGAAAGTGCTAAGCCATTATGACTATATAGCACTTAGAAGGGATATGAGGATAAGGATTTCGGATAGGATGGAGGAAAGGAATGGTGCCCGGCCACTTGGACAGTCGGGGGATTGAACGCCAACTTACAAGAAGCAAGACTGTTGCTCTACCATCCAGTCCAAGTGGTTTGGCACTTTCTGAATGAAGTTGACAGCAGTTTTTATCAATTTGTAACACTGAAATAAGTGAAGTAATAAATATTTTCCATAGCTATCCAGTCTTAGAGTGGTTCAGGGTTAGATGCCTTCCATTACCTAACTTTCACTCAATCATACAATATGTATATTAGTGGCTTTGCAAGAATGTTCCTAACATTAATTTATCATTATTATAGTAATGCAAGTACAGTATAATTATCCTTCCCTCAATTATTGGTGGTCTCGCCGTCACCACACATTCTTGGCTTAAAAATGCTCTTAGTGGTCAATAGACACTTTACCAGTCACCATTAACAACACCTGCTATCCCCCCTAAATTCTTTTCAAAATTGGATTTAATGCATGTAAACACACTTCCCAACACATTGCACTTATTTAGTGTTCACCTATTGAAAGCATATTCAATCATTTTTATGCAAATTTTGTTGAAAGTATAGGCTGTATCGGCAAAAAATCTACTTTATTGTTCCCCCCAAAAATGGTCTAAATTGCTAATACATTGGTACATTTATAGTAGATAAGCCAGTTTTGTTGTTTAAATAATAAGAAATTAGTATCTGTACTGTCTTAATTTGAATGATTGTTTTCAGCATAAAATTTCATCATTGTTTATGTGCAATATTACAGCTATTGGGTGATGCTTTTCTCAGACTTTATTTTGTAATGCTTAGCCATGGGTGATGACAACAGTAATTGTCCATCTTATTTTCTAATATATATGGACCAGGTTTACCAGCTAGTCAATGAGAAATTGAGACTGTGAAGGTAATACCCATCATCATCATCGATATTCATTCACTTCATTAAAGAAATAATGAACAGAGATTAACAGCTTTCATCTCATGCAAAGTTTAAGAAATAAATTACAATTGCTATTTGTATTCATTCAAGATTTAAGCATTATGTAAGAGTACACATATTTTGGACAATGATTGTTAAGATAAATGAATTCTGAAGAGTACATCATCATCATACGTATGCAAAAGACGAGCTTCAAATTCTTACTAGGCTAATAGTAGGTAGCTTTTCTGCATGTACAGTAATTTGATATTCTGAACAGTCTTGGCATTATTCACTACTGTATGTAATGCATTGATGAAATTGTGCTTGATCTTCATTGTTTCAAGTTTAAGAAACAAGGAAGATCTAGCTATGGATAGCATTGACAGTGTTCCTTGTTTGTTTCAGATCCAAGGAGGAAACCAAGATACATGTACCAAGTCGCCAAGAAAGGATAAGGCAGAAAATATGTGATTTTGAGTCGCAATTAAGTGCACTTGGACCAAATATAGGAGTGAGTCATCCAATACCACCAAATTTAAGGTACATTACATATTGTGTGTGTATATTCTATACTTGATAAAATGAAGATACTTTAGTGTATTTAAAGTACATTACAGTGGATTCCTGCTTGAATGGCATCTTTTTTTTCCAAAGAGCTGGAAGCAATGGAGTTGGGAACATACAGTGGTCGATTACAGTCTATCCAGAATGCTATAAAAGTTTAATTAGAACAAGTGTTTTCCTCTTTAGGGTTTCATTTCAGTGGCTCTATTCTTCTGTGCTCAGGATGTTCCTGATTGTCACCTCTTGGCTGGATGTTTCATTTCTACCTTTCTTTGCTTCTGTTGGTATCGATGACCTCCTCACCCTTAGGATCCATGCCTTCTGGTGTAGGTGTCTTATTGATGTTAAATAGCAAATACACATCCAGTACACTACAGCAAAAAGTAGCAAATTTTGGATACAATAGAACTTAAATTGTAGTACTGTAGAAGAGTTCTTATATGATTCTTTCCATTTGAGTGGGAGTCCACTATACGTGTATTTCAGATGTTAGGATTTGCAGTTTTGTTGCTATTAAATACTGAACAGATTTTTATAAAAATTTCAGATATTTATATCCTCCGCCTTCACCATCTGTTATAGCCAATATAGCGCAAACACTTGTAGCTGTTCCCAAGTTTTACACACAAGTCTTACACCTAATGAACAAAATGAATCTTCCCACCCCTTTTGAACCAGTTACTAAAATCCCCACAGTATATACAAAGCTTTTAAACCTGATGGGCTATGAACATAGCATGGAAAAGAATATCTGTTCAAAAGAGAATGACAAAAATGCAATTAAAGAAGGATTAAATTCAGATACAGACAATGAGATGGAAGACAAAGAAAATGATAAAAGTGATGAGCAGGATACATCAGAGGCAGAGTCTGAATTAGAAAGTGAGGGGGACGGGTCAGTGAGTAAGCAACAGAAAATATATCTACCTGTTAGACGGAAGCTCAGATCCAAAAATGTCTTTAACAAAAAGCCCAAACTGTCCTTGTTAAAGCATACCTGTGTTTCCCATCCTCGGAATTCTGAATCGGTTTCAGTGAAAGATGTATTCGAGGCTAGTGAAAGTCATGGACCAAAAAAATTGCAGTTGAGGCTAGAGGGAACAGTTCTCCCACAAGCAGAAGTAGAAGCAGAGAAAAATGTTTCTCTCTCAGGAGGTTTTGGAATGATGACATCATCTGTAAACGTCAGAGAGGTGGCAGATGATATGGTTGAATGGAGGAAGGAATCTTCAAAGTACATAAGTAAAGAAGAGTTACAAGCCAACGTAGTCAACAAAGCAGGTAAGATGCAAAATTTTCAGTACAGTAACTCAATAAGGCAGTCTACAGTGATATTTTGTTTCTTAAAAACAGAAGTAATGATTCATATAGAGTAATGTAACTTAAAATTTTGTCATGCAGGAATTACATAGAATGGAAATTTAAGTTCTTAATATTTAACTAGCAAGATGTTTGACCAGAATTAGAAAAGTAGTTTGCAATTTGTTACTTAAATTGAGCATATCTATTAATCAAAGATAAAATATTTAATAAAAAATGAAATTTAAAGAAAATTCTGCTCATTAGGCAAATCTTATTACACTGAGTTTGTTCAGACAGACAGACAGACAATCTGCTAATAAGGGAATACTTTTAAGAATTACTCTTTTTAAAAGTAGTCTTCCAGTGCAGAAGAATATGAAAACCAATCATTTTGTATTAGAGTATCACAGGTTAGTGTGCTTTGCTCTTTGTTTTGGAGTGTCTACCTTAAGTGATCTACTATACCCCATCCCTGATACTTAGGCCTATGCCGATGACTACACTCTAACAATTACATATGGAAAAGTAGAAATACCAACTGCTGCAAGGCTCATTAATCGTTGCACATTTGATGCACAGAATGCATCTGTGTGCAATGTTGCATGCAAATGCCTCCACCTAATCAAGTAAGATGTAATCAAAGCATTAAAGATCAGGTAGACTTTACTGGATAAGGGGTCTAACTGTGGGATGTCTTTATCAAGCCAGCTACACCTTAACCTCGAATCACATTGGTCATAAAAGTCCTCCAAAGATCCCAGTTTTGGCTTACACATATTGGACCATTTTCCTTTGAATTTTTTTTAAGGCTAGGCCCTGGGAAATATACTAAATGCTTGGTATCAGTTTTCAACAATATGAAAGTGTTCCCCATGATATTGTTCTAAGCACTACAAGAATTTTTTTTTTTTTTGCAGATTGGCCTTTGCTAACAGTTTTCAAGAATTACCACCCAGGTGAACCATCTACAAAACTATATATAAAAAATTTAGCCAAAACAACAAGTGAAGAAAATCTGAAATATATTTATGGCCGCTATGTATTTTGGCAAAATGAGGAAGAAGTTAGTGAGTAAGTATAAGCTTAATTGTTCCAAGTCTGTGTTAGTTATATAGAGTGCTACCCCACTTGAAAGGACTAATTTGGACCAAACCCATTACATTTTACAAGATTTCTGGTACACCAACAGCATTTCCATTTTTCACTGTTTATTGCAATTTTTTCACCTTAAGACAGAACATATATTTGCACATTTATAGACAAAATGATATAATAAGAAAAATAAATTTTAAATATACTGTACATTACTATGCTTTGAGGTAAAATGGAGGATGAAAATCCCTAAAATTTCAGGAAAGAAATAGAAAGCACAACTTTTTGTTTACTCTAAAACTAGTATTATTAATCATTGTCTTTATTGATTGCAATGTCTGAACACTTTTTGCAGTTTTGCTTATTGTCTGAGCAAGTTGATTGCAGTTTGAGTTTCCCCAATAAAAAAGTGAGAAACATCCAACAAAAATATCCCAAACGTCCAACAAAAAAATTCCAAGTGTCCAACGAAAAAGTGCCAAATGTCAAACAAAGAAAATCCCAAATGCCCAAGACAAAAAAAACAATCCCAAATGCCCAACAAAAAAGTGCCAAACCGCCAACAATAAGTGCCAAAATGCAAAAAAAAAAAAAGTATCAAACTACTAACAAAAAAAGTTCTAAACTACTGTACTAACAAAAAAGTTCTAAACTACTAACAAAAAATCCTAAACTTCCAATGAAAAACTGGCACATGCTCAACCAAAAAAGTGGTAAAGCCCAACAAAAAAGTGGCAAAGCCCGATAAAAATGTGGCAAACGGCCAACAGAAAAGTGGCAAATGCCCCCCCCCCCCCCAAAAAAAAAAAAAAAAAATACTGTACTCAAAATGCCCAACAATAAAATCCAAAATGCCAAAAATATACAAATGACCAGCAAAGAAAAATACAAACACTCAATTGCTTTGTTGGGCGTTTGCCACAATTTTGTGGTAATGCCATCTGGTAGTAGTCAGGAGCAGTCAGTCAGCTGGAGTGTCTGCCTTTCTGTAATGATTGTTTGCTTTGTTTACCCTCAGGGTTACTAATTTACCGTCAAGCAGTTATTTGTTTTGATGTGCTTATACTTCCTACCTAGTAACATTTCTTGGTTCTGGATTGATCACTGATTTCCAAGCTCCCTTAGCCTCATAGAGCCAGACTCTTGTCCTGGCTTCTAGTAGACTCTGGTGGGTTACCTTCCCTTGTGGTGATTCTGGGGTTGCACAAGGCCTCTGGGTCTCAGAGGCTTTGTGCATCACTGTAAGGCATGGCTGGTCTAGTACTTAGCTCAAGGTGATATTAAGGGATCATCAGAAAATGGCATTTCATTACATTTACCACTCAATTTTTAACCTAACTAATGCTAATGCCTGCCACCTCATGAAAGCGGGAAATGATGTATGTAGAGTATATGTATTTATACAACAAATGTTGTTTCAGGTTTTCCATTCGTCTCATGAAAGAGGGTCGGATGAAGGGACAAGCCTTTGTAACATTTCCATCAGTAAAACAAGCAATAGAAGCTTTAGAAGATACCAATGGCTTTATCCTAAATGATAAACCAATGGTTGTGGTATATGGGAAAGTTAAGACAGCACAGGTGACAAATTAATGTAAGTAAGTTACTAAAGAAAGTACTAAGCCAGTACCATGAAGGCTATACAGTACTCGACATTATTGCATTCTGTTGCAGAATATTCAAGTTATAGATAGCATTCAAGATGCAAAGATGAAAGTAGAAATACATTAGATGAGCTATATGAGAGTTGAAGCTCAATCTATATACACTGTAATGAATTTTGAAATTGTTATTTAGCATAGTCATTAAATTCAACCAAAAGAAATGACATGACACTGATATACTGTATTTCAGAATGCAAATAAACCAGATTTAATTTTTGTGTATTCTTTACCAGTAGAGGTAATTTGTCATTTGAAACTGAACAAAATAAAATTTAATTACTGTATGAGTTTTGTACATATAATGGGGCCTCGACTTACGATGCTAATCCGTTCCCAGAGACGGATCGCAAGTCGAAATATCGTAAGTCGAAGCGATTTTTCCCATAAGAAATAAAGGGAATTGAATTACAGTAATCTGTTCCCCACCCTCCAAAATATTAACATACAAATACATTTTATACTGAATACAATGTTTTTTCTAACTACAATACAGTACCAAAGTTTCTCTTACCTTTATGGAGGGCTCTTGATGGCATATGGAAGATGGTGATGAGGGGGGAGGAGGAGAGTTGTTACTGTTTGGAAGGGAAGTCCCCTTCCATTATCACATCAGGCAGTGATGTTTTCTCTGGGGTACTCTCTCTCTTACGTTTTGCCTGAATACCACTAAGACCTGGTTGTGGTTCAGTGCTTGTTTGTCTCATTACTAATTTGTCACGAGACATTTGTTTTTCCCTTCATTTTAACATTTGTCTGTAATGATGCATCACAGTGTCATTGAATAGGTTAAGGCAATGACCTACTGCAGCGTGATTTGGGCGAGTCGTTTCAGCAAAGGTTTGCAATTCTTCCCATGCTGCACAATGATTTATTTTATTCACCTACATGAGCAAAATATTTTGATATTTCCTATGCTGATGAACCTACCATGCCTGATGATTTTCACATGCATTATCACTTTGTCCAGTAGGTCAATTCAAATGTTACTGCTCATCCCACCGGTCTGGCACATTCATCATTGAAGATACTTCCAGAGATTCGAATGGCCCCCCTTGCTGCCCTTTCATGCATTGGTGAGGTCCTGGTTTAGGTCTCCAGGAAAGTACATTAGAATACCAGCATTGGCACTCATTCTGCATCTCGCCCTAGCAGGAATGCACACCCACATGGTGCTCTGTCATCAATTTGCACTGTTGAGCCATTGACAGTTAAACCACTGTCTAGGTGTCCTTGTACTTTCCTTATGGTGCTAGCCTATCGGTACCACGGTGATCTACAAAATCAAAGTTTAATACTGAGGAACTTTACACCCGGAGTGAAATATTCGATATTCATGTTCGTATCACTGTCACAAGTGCATTCCTTGGTAATACCCAAAGTGTAGTTACAGGATGAGACCTACACTCTTGGTGTCCCATTTTCTCAATACTGTACTTTGTCATATGATGCTTTGAAACTACTGATAGTTTTGGCATCAACCGCCAACTTTCTTAATTTGTTTCAACCATCTACAACGGCAAAAGAAAACTTTCTAATATTTTTTCTGCACCTTTATTTCCAGAGCAGGAATATTTTGGAATATGTGGGAACACAGGAAAATGTTAATCGATGGGAATGAAACGTCCCCATACTTTGATGGTGGATCAGAGGTAATTAGCTATTGTGTTGAGACACCTGTATAGACACCCAGTTGTGCTAAGTGGTGGAATTCAGATTATGCTCGTGTTATTCCTTATAAGTGTGCAGGCTGGAAAAAAAACTTCTGCAGCTGACATTTGAATCCTTGCTTCGAAAAGAAAGGAGGAGCCACCCATACAGCTGAACATTAGAACTAGAAGTTCTACATTTTTTTTACTCGATACTCTTACCCTATATCTGGAATATTCGTAGAACCATTACTGCTAGTCATGAATGAACTGGGTTTGCATATTTTGCCATTAACTCCAGTTTTCATCTTTCTTACCCCGAAGTCTCGTATTGAATCTCGCCTCTTGGACTTTTGCACTCGCCTTTAGGTTCCCTTCAATGATCTTTCCACCTTTTTCCACCTGATCTTCCTAGTGTTCAACTCCACAGTGGCAGGATTGGATTTTACAGTACATATTTATACATACTGTACTGTGCTTGTATCTGGCTCGAGGCAATTTTTCTGCATATTGCATTTGCTATGAATACCTCTGTTGCTTTTCTTCTTTTTTTGACCTGGAAAAGGCTTCAGACATTATGTGGAGGTACAGTGTGTTAGCGCCACTGCATTCTCTTAAAACTTCACGATAATCTTCCACTTTCTCTTCAGGGCTGTTTCTCTCATCATACATTAAAGATGTGGCTTGGTACTGCTTTCTCAAGACACTTTGTAGTCTTAGCAAATTCTCACTCCTTGTTTGGGGTGCTCTCACTTTGTGAACAATATCTGCTGCTGTTAAAGCAGCGATTTCTCCCTAATCCAAGGTCATCTCCAACTTGTGATTGGCAGTGTGTAGTCCTAGGCTTAAAGTTCTTAACACTGATATTGTGCTATGACTTTGAAGCATGTCATTCATCATTCATCTTTTGTCACTGAAAATCCTCTTTGTATAAATAGCAGCCGTATTGGTGTTGCTTCCAATGACATGAATGCTGCTACAGGTACTATAGTTATTCATGCCTGTCCAGTCTCCCAGAAATGGATTCCTTACTTAATCTATCAGCTGTAATGTTACCTGTAACCATTGCCGAGAGAATATCTTGACTGGCAAACTGCATACTATCAACTTATGGTGGTAGTAAGGCCACACAAACATAAATGGGAAATAGCTAACTAGGTTACATAGTAGCCACACACATGAGGGTAAGTAATTATGAAAAGAAGGCACCAAACTGGAAAGGCTATGTAGCACCATCAAATGTGCAGAATAGAGGGCGCTAAATATCACCGAGGATGCCAATACGAGAACAGAAACGCTTAAGGCGAACGATATTAAAAGCACCTGATTCACCAAGAATTCTATCGAGGGACACGTGACCATGAGAGAGAGTTGGAAAACATGAGGGTAAGTAATGAAATAAATAAAACAAGCTTCAGACTGCTACACTGGTTTATTTCGCTCAGCTCAGCAAAGGTCACGCCTTTAAGGGGGGACCTGAAGGGCATTTACATTATCACGCCAGACTCGCACTGTCCCTTGCAGGCTCTCATTATATTGTTTACAATCACTGACAATTTCAGATTACATGAAGAAAATGTAATAATTAACATTGTTAATTTTACTTCTTATTTTTTTTTTTTTTGTAACTTTTCTGACAAAGAACTGCCATAAACAAATTTGAAACAAGCCAAGGAAAGATCAGCAGGCTCTTAGCATCCAATGAGAGAATATGTAATTTAATTACCATATGCTTTTAATGTAAATGAATAAACACACTTTGAATAAGGCTTCCTAATGTCATACTACACCATTTACTCAACATGGATAAAGAAACAACCTCACAGCTTTGCAATACCAGTTGAAATAAATACCTGCATCAGATGGATCATACAACAAGTATATGGTGTTACCTGAATGTCATAATGTGTAAAACAGACAGCCTAACAACGTTTTCTTGCTCGCATGCACACGGCTCGGAACATTAAAAATGTCAATAATTTAAATCACAATAACAAGGATTTAACAGACTGGCTGTGGCACCTATTTAAAAAAAAAAATTGGCTAGTATATTTCTTGCATAGGAACTAAATGTTAAGTATTACATTAACCACCCATCCAGTGGGAACTATATATAAATCCTACGAAGAGTTCACAGTATCAAGATTTTGTTACAAGCATCATCGTGAATCCAAAATCCCTCACACTGTATTGTACTTGGTTAAGAAATAACTGATTATTAAAATGTAATAATTAAACAATGATCACTTCAGCAACAAAGGCAATCTGAAGAAAACACTAAATTTTGAAGAAAAGATTGGATAACAATAATTTGATTAATATTTTGATATCCATTAAGTACAGTATTAAGTACATTCTCTAGCGATGTTCTATCAATGTTAAAAAATGTTTTTTTTTTGTTTTTTTGTTTTTTTTTACTAAGAATATGACAATAAAATCACAATACTTCCAACAACTAATTACCTGGTGTACTGTTGTGGTAACATTTATGACCAATATTTTTGAGAGCTTAATATCTTGCTATCACCATTCATTGCACAATTAAAACTTTTTAATTCGGAAACAAACTGTTTCAGAAACACAGTACACAGACCCAATATCATCAGGAATTGGATTTACCAAAATGAAATTAGAGAAATGGTGAAACTGGTTAGATTCCACAGAATTACAACACTCTTTAAGATCAGTATATGACATTAACCTTGGATAAAACAAAACCTGATTTATATAGAATTACCTTTTCTTCATTTAGTTATCAGCCAAGAAAAGTTGTACAGTAATAACCACATCACCAGTAAAGGAACACTGGTTGTACATTTAGTTGCCAATAGAACATTAGTTCACTTTGATCTTTACTAACAGTAATCGAAAATGTAAATAACAAAAGTACACGATACAAACGCACAAGTCCATTACCACATCTCTGTCAAGTTACTGAGTCCTTCCACTACTTAGAACAAGACCAAACTATTGTGGATAACATCTCTCTAGAAAAGAGAACAGTGAAGACAGGGTGTCTAGTCTCTGGCCAATTCTGGATGACCAAAACGGTACTGTATAGTACTACTCACAAAATTATACATACAGGTAGATTTATTCTACTCACCAATAGCTATATATTAAACAAAGCACTTGTTCCATCATTCTGAATGGCAGTTAAAGCTGATGAGCTATAATTAAAATGCAGAATCTTTCCAATCAACCTTCAACATTTAGCCCTAAAAATATGCCTTCAGACGCATGGTAAGCTTAGCCCTCAACCAACATGTTTATGGGCTAAAGCACTGTATTAGAGAAGTTAAACTTCCATATTCATATAGTACAACTCAGAAAGTAGCAGTTCCAAAGCTTTAATAAACTCTACAATCTTCTTCTTAACAGTTTGGCACAGCTCCATACATTGCATTTTATAACAATAAATAATAAACTTTTATGATTATTGTATTACCTGAGATGAACTAAAACCAGCACATTGGGACACATTACGGCAAGATGAGTGGAGTTTTGTGCTTAAGATGAGTGGCCTAATTATAAAGTACCCATCAACATTTATTATCCAATATTCCA